TCTCTCTCTCTCTCTCTCTCTCTCTCTCTCTCTCTCTCTCCGCCCCACCCGATAATCTTGCTTATATATATATTACCAAGGACACCCTCCTGATAACTAATATTCCACTAATATTCAAGAGGTTTCAGCCATCAAAAATTGCTTATTAAAAAGTTATTAACGAAAGAATTTTCACAAATAGAACGTAATTTGCTGACACCGTATACATATTTAAGGAATCAACACGTACTATTCACTTGCTATATATAGTAAATATATTTACTATATTCCGAAATAAATATTAACTTATTCCTCTGTTTTGATTTCTTCGTTTAAATATGAAAGACATTCTTACTTGGTATGTCCTGTTCAATGTTATTATTCTTAGTTACTGTCTTGACTGAGTGATGTAGCCAGTCACTCGCTTGGATAATTTCAACAAAGTTTCGTAAATTTAAAAAATGTATTTATATGAATTTATTCATATGACTTACAATTTTGAATCTTTGTGGAATTTCTTGTATGACAAAAATCGTTTACAATCAAATAATGTGTTCTAAGTGTCACAATGTATTAAGAATAGTTAACTCTTCCAAAAATTATATTTTACTTTATACAAAGGAATATTGCAAAATCACTAGAAAGTCATTGTCAAAAGCGACAGAGAGTAACGTTTGAACAATTTTGAAATTATTCCATAGAACAGTTTGAACAAATGCAAATCTAACTAAAATTTGTCGTTTTATCGGATATTTTCTAATAATACAACCACCACGACAGAAATTCGTAATGAATAAATTGCAAATAAATGGTCATGCTATTAGCAACAAATTTTTATCAATAAATGAATAATATATTGCTTAGGTTACTTATTTACTATTAACTAATATTGTACTCATTAAATCACTTGTAGTTACTTTAATGATGGATTGTAAATAGATAAAAACCAATTGGCGGAAAGGGTAAAATTGTCGAAGTAAATAGAGTTAAAGGAGGCAAATATAATACCGGACATGTAATTAAAAGACAACGGATTTTCA